CCCCCGTAAGGTCGACGTGATTTTACTGTGACAATGAACACCGTTGTTTTATTAAGGAGGCTTTTCAGTGGAAGACACCAGGGTGCAGGGGGCAGGCCGAACACAGGCCGAACTTTCAGATATAATCCAGTAAATAACTGCTTCGATGTTTTGTGTGATTATTTGACCGAATTGCCTTATTCTTCCAAAGTAAGAAACCGTTCAGTTCTTTTTTCAGGTAATTTCATACTTATAGGCTTGAAACACGAGACCCTATGGTGCTACACTAGGGAGAGACGGAGTTGTATACAAATGTCTATTTTTAAATGTAAAAAAGGGGAATTTAAAATTGCTTTATTTCAGCTGTTCATATAATTATATTTGTATTACTCACTATGTAATTGCAATATATAGTAATCCATTTAACTTTGTATTTGCAGAAGAGCTGGGGGTGTATAATGTAGCGAAACCTGTTTAGCTGAGGCTTCTGCTATATACTCTGGGTGTGTGACTAAAGATGCCATACACTGATGTATTATATACAGCTGTGATGGGAGACGTGGGCTTTTGAAACCGGTGGGCAGGATTATGAGTCACCGACTTGTCAAACTCACATGCCATTGGCTGAACCGGATGGTGATTGACAGTGAGCGGTCCCGCCCACTGCCACTCTCAATGCCCTGAATCTCCCATCGCTAATATAGAGGCACACATACACGCAGTACTTGGGGTCTATACTATTGCCCTATATGTTTTTGCACTTTATACACAAACAAACACACACATACATACACATAGTCATTTAACAAATTTATAACAATGGAAGCTGTGTTTTAAGATTTTGTTTTGTTTTTTGGAATAATTTCAGACACAATCGTCGCTTAACTGAGTGACTCCAGCGTACTGCTGAGTTTCATTGCGTTTTTAATTTTCTGTCAATAATGTACAGCTCCTTGTCCAACAGAACTGTTGCACAGAATGATCTTGTATTATATTATAAATAAAAGTTTAAACTTAATCTGTTCGCTTCTTGTGTGTCATTGTACTGTGAGTGTACATGTTCGAAATGCCTTAACTTTGTTAGCGATCACAAAGAGAGACAAACTGCATTCCGATGCGGGGACCCTCTGTCAGACCTGTGATTTATGCATCCAGGAAGCTTAATCCTGCATCAGTAAGGTGCCATCGACAGCGGGCTGATACTACAGTAGGAACTGTAAGGGAACTGTTAACTGTTAGATGGGCCCAGTCTCCTGCATCCCTTCATCCAGCAGATGTTAGCTTCCACGCCTGTGCGAGCGCCTTCGCCGGAGGCTCCATGGCTATGGTGATGGCAGGCCTGCTGCGGCCTGACACCGTGCTCCTGGTTTTGGTGTAAAACCTCACACCAGATGCATGTGTAATCTAATCCTCTCACAGTTGCCCGGTACACTGTGCGCTGTTCTGACGGAGGGACCGACTTCTGAGGCTTTTAATACATTCCGTGCCAGGCAGGGACAGGATAGAAAGGAAAGGGGAGGCCTTATCGAATTAAAGCCTGCCGCATCTTGCTTTCCTAACCTCACGCTTTCCCATAGTAAACGATTGCTGTACGTGTTCAAAGTGGAAAGAGTAAGTGAATGAGGACAGCTTTATGCCAGGCGTATTCTCTCCTCTGCCACTAGGGTGCACACTTACATCACTGTTTATAAATATACACGAATACACCTATAGCACACTGTGTAGATTGTAGACTATGTACACATAAGCTTCACAGCTGCCTTTCCTCTTGTGTCATGGTGACAGCGCTCACCTCTCCATAAATTTTCAAAAGTTAATTTTGTTGCAGTGGTGGCAGCTGTCACATGACAGTCAGGACCAGGGACTATGTGTCTGAGGTCAGTCGACTGGCACTACAATGTTTGTACAGCTCTCCTCTGTCTTCATGTTTACTTATATTAGTTAATTATTTTAAACTAATAATTATCACTTAGTGTTCATTTTTTTTAAAGAATTTCTATAGGTTAACACTTAGCCCTTTTATACAGTAAGGCATTTTGAAATGACATTTGAAATGCAATAAAATTTCAACTTAGACACAACATTTTGACCGTTTTGGGATCATTTCCATTCCCTGCAATTGCAGGTAGTCCCATATGCAGTCAAACTATGGGAATCACTGTAAAAATAATTACAAATCCATCAGTTCATCAATCATATGACTGGCTGTTATAATTAAAGGTCAGTTTGGTTATCAACAGTGATAAATGAAAGACGCACAGAGAGTTTTAACATTATTATTTTAACATTAGTAATTCATGTATACCGGTCCATCACAGGGCACCCTGTATGGGATACCAGTCCACACTGATTAGCTGACTGCAGGTCTTTAACTTGCTGCAGGAACCCTGTGTGATATGGAGATAACACACAAACTCCACACACACACACGCACACACTGACATACAAAATTCATATATTCCTATCATTTTGGGGACTCTCCATTTTTATGGGCATAACCCTATTCCTAACTATGACAATCTTAACCCCTATCCAGCTCTTACCTTAACCATAAGGAACCAAGCAAAATACAAGATTTTTGTCAATTTTTCTTTATTTTTATTGCAGTCACATATATTTTTAAAAATTGAGGTTTATACTGTGGAATTTAAACGAGACTGTGCTACCCACTGTGCCATCCAAACATAAATTTTGTCTTCTAGAAATTTGGCAAAACAAAGTCACTATTATTCATAGTTGGACATTTCAGGTCCAGAAAGTAAAAATCCAGACCAAGATTTTGTTTCAACCAAGCAGTACTCTGTGACTGACGCTCAACTAGTTGGTTGAAACAAAATCCTGGTCTGGATTTTTACATTCTGGACCTGAAATGTCCACCTCTGCTATTATTTACAGAAGAGCCACTGGATCTGCTTTAAAGAGCTGTATCAACAACCTTTTGTTTTCATAGTAACTGTCCTGAGTTGAGGTCCTGGCTGGGTTTTACAGAATATGGCCCAAAATTTTACTCACTCATTTCTGAGGCACATATTGCAAACTGGGAGATGACAATTTGCCACCAGTGACCAAAAAATGGGTGTAATCTTCAAATTAGCATTTTCTGCTTTTTGTGGGACCTTGCTAATTAATTAGAGAAGTGGCTAGATTATAAAGGGTCTTAACAATTGTCATGAGACAAATTTCTTTGGTTGATGCTATGGTTTGCTCTCCAAATGTTTACATGAAGTACTTTCGAAGAAAGCCATTAACCTAGCTAATGAACTCGGAAATGAAAGGAGTATTCTCAGACGGAGAAGATGTTACTGATGGCTTGTGCTAATCGAACCTGCATCTTCATTATGGGCTCTTTGTTAGAAGCAATCAGAAACAATAATCTAGCAGGGAACGTCAGACTCTTTGTTTCTTGCTTATCGAGACGAACCAAGGAGTCTGTCTGTGTTCATGGGAGGAAGGAGCAATGGAACCCAATGAGATGTTTATTTCCGTGGTCGTCATCATTTCCAAAATAAAAGATACAAACGGGACATATTTAGGCAGGATGTGTCCTCAGAGGAATAAAGTAGCAAATGTGCTCTGAACATAAAGCCAAGTCAAGACTTAAGCTGGTGTTAAATAGGGATGGTAGATGTTGATGTATAGTGGCAGATGGCTGGGTCAGAGGAGCAGTACACAGAACACAGAGGGGCTGAAATGCTAGACTGGAAGGTTCTACACCCAACCTTTACATTCCACAGCAAGATCCTAGGATCTATAGAGCCATGACAGAGGTGCCCATATTGTGGTTTCAAAGCCACAGAAGGCAGGATTACTGGGTACTGTCACAGCCACTTAACCAATAAGGTGTGAGTAATTGGTGGCACAGGTCAATCCTTTCCACCAATGGGTTGGGAACCTAGCTTCTCTCATAACTCTAGGGTTGCTCAGTGGGTGGTACAAGCCTCACACCTTTTGGTCTGAGGTTCTCCCATAAAACACATAAGTAGGAGAACTGGCAGCTCCAGAGTGTGACCTGTGATGGACTGGCTTCCCACTCAGCTGGACAACAATCATAGCCTTCATTGGCATTAATTAAAAAACCAATAGAGCTGGCTGCTAATTATAACGAACCTCAGCGCTGCCTTATTTGCCAGAACTGACATCATGTAATAGGTGCGCAGACTCAAGGAAACCCATCAAACGCATTCAAATGTCCACCGACATTCACAGCTGGGTGACAGGATGGCATGTCTGTTATGTAACCAACACAGTATAATTGCTAGCTTTAAAGGTGCACTTGTCCAATTAAGAAAAAATATACTCAGAATGTCCGACTAATGGCTTTTTCTGGGTTTTGGGGGCCAGCATTATTCTCCATTTGATTTATTAAACATGGTAATGATGAGAAGTAACTCTGCATACGACTGTTAACGAGTCTCCAGGAAGGAAAGAATGTATGATACCTTCAAACCAGCCCCCAACCCTATCAAACATCCAGCTGGGTTGGCTTGACTTTTATGGATAGCTGTAAATTGCCACGGGTCGAAGGTCAGTGTTGGCTGAAGGAGATCGAGTGGGACTGAATTAAACAGGAAAGCAAGGCGCTGCGTCTCTGTCATTCGTCCTTCTCACGCTCCTCCTCATTATATCTTGCCTCAACATTCTTGGCTTCATCTTTTCCATTTCCTCCCACTTCTCCCTCCCTCGCTCCATCCATCTGCCCCTCCCTGAACCAACAGGATACCCTGTGGGTACTGACTCCACCTTTCCCTGGCCGCAAGGGGCCAGATTGGAAAGGAGTCACAAATTAGTACCTCACAGTCGGGCTGGCTGACAGCCAGGAAGAACAGAACCGTGAAATGAGACCCGGGTGAAGCCACCCAGAGGCGTTGAGGGGTAGTGCGTGATGGCGCCATAATTCTAATCGGTGATCCTTTGTACGGCCGAGTGCTATTGTGTTGGTGGTGTTAAAGCCGCAGC